ACAATTTTTACAATTTTCACTTTTTGAACGGCGATTACGGCCAAACTATTAGACTTCGAGCAATCAGTCCAACTCCATCGTAATCAGCGTAAGAAAATCTATCGACTGAGGCCAAAACCAAGTCGATAACTCGCAAACAAATTTTGAATTTTTAAACGCCGATTACGGCGAAACTAAAGGAGATAGCCCAATGTGGTTGGTAAATTCGTAATTAGCGCGTCAAAATCTATCGGATAAGATAGGTTTAAATCGAATCTGAGACATGTTCAAAAACACTAGATTTTAGTTTTTTTGTTTTGTAAATTGCGGCAAAACTGAGTCTCAATAACATAATATTTTGACCTATACCTATGTAAAATGTTCCGGGGAATCGATTGGCGTCAATTAAACTGCAAAATTCGTAGTAGTTTTGAAGTTATAGTCGGATTTAAATTCTCGATYTTTTTGACTTTATCAGAAATTTTCTCGATAACTATTCATCGTAGAGCACTGAAATTTTTAATATATGATAGAAAATTTAATTTTCTATCCAACGGTACCAAATATAAGAGGTTATCTCCAATAAGTCCGGAGTTATGGCCATTAGACCGGTCCGGGTGCCAAAAATCGACCAAAATCTCGACAAAAATCCAAAAAAATTTCAACTTTAAAATTGATCCATTTAACGTTTTTTACATTTCTAGAGGTCTTAAAGACTCAAATAAATGCATAAAATGTTATTGGGTCAAGTTTCAAAAATTTTGAATTTTTTGAATTTTTCAAGGGGAATGGTAGTAAAATCTAAAAATAGTCAATTTACCTTAAGTCGTAAAAACGCTTGAAATATGACTTTCTAGACGTAAAATTACTCGCTGAACATGATTCAACTAGTTAGAATACTCTACGATGCATAGTTTTTGAAATATTGAGTAATAAAGTCAAGAATAGGGCTGTATCACTATTATCGAGTACTTCAAAATTAAACCAAATGCAAAAGTATAAATGAAATTATATGAAAATTTATTTCGATAAAAAATAAATAAAACGTAGATATATCAATGTAATCCTTAGATTTTAGCCTTGTGTAAAAAAAAGTTCTATAGTAGGTTGATATTTGAAAAAAATATAAATTTTATTCTTGAGAAACATCACAATTTTTAAATAGTTTTGGTCACAAAAGCAGTAAAAATTAATTAATTGACTTACCCCTCGACGATTATTAACTTAAAACCACAATAATTTGAAACGTGGTTGACCACATTCAGATCGAATATAACAATGGATAAAATCAAACGTTAAATAATACTTTTACACTCAAAAAATTATGATCAAAATGCAATTGTGATAAATTTAACGACAAATAATAATTAATATGTAAAACCATTACCAATTGTGCAAACAAACCTGTTATGGCTTCACATAGTTATTAATCACCATTTTTAATAAATTACATCATCCTACAACGTATTTAAAAATTATATTTCTCAATATACAGGATGACCCAGTGGTGCCAAGAAATGAGTATATTTCCTTTTCTTTTCGGAAAAAACATCAACATTTCTTATTTTGCAAAAATCTCACAAAATTTTACAAAGTAGACCCCACCAACCCTATTTCCTATTCACCCTACAAGACACCCTCCGGTGGTAGATGGGTGGCATCCACTCGTTTGAAACTTTGTTATTATATGCGTCTACTCTAATGTCACATTTTCCTTTTAAAATTTAATTTAAATCGCTCAAAATAATTCAATAACCTTCCAAGTCTGAAGTGAAATTTAATAAAATTTGCAATTTCGTCATAAAGAGTTCAAGAGCTCGTATTTAGTCATCAAATGCAGAAGAAATTAAAAGAAAAGAGGATATGCACATAGGAGATGAATAAATTATAAAGTAAAAATATTACCTGCACCTGACATCGTACACCACCTCTTGCATAATTACAACAAGCGTAAAATTTTACTAGATGTGAGTTTAGGACGTGCTCTGTCTTCACCGGTTTTAATTAAAACCGTAGCTTAACTGACAGAAAATAGGATCATCATTAATACAACAAAGAATGAAAATTTTTCAAAGTGTTTTGATTTTCTGACTTAATTGTTTCGAACTTGCTGATTCGTTAGTACTTGTTAGTTAATCTTTGTTTGCTTGCACCAAACTTACAAATTAGAGTTTCTCAAGTTTTCCTTCGACAATGAAATCAAAGTACGTCACCGTTGAACGCAAGCAAACCATAATTAATGAGCCTAACTCGACGCTTAAGCAACACCGACTGTTTGAAACTGAAACGACTTGCTATCCCGAGGAATAATGAAAGCTAGCCTAATGTTGTGCCAAAATGTCTAGATTAGAGATATTCATTCTCGCCCAAAGCAATTTAACACCAAAACTCCCTGCAAGAGGTCACTTATATTTAATTATGTCATAAATTTATTTCAGAAAAAACCAATGAAGAAAAAGCAGCAAACACTCAAAGTGAAAATCACGAAAGAGAAAGTTCCTGAAAAAACAGACCCAGAACCACCAGATTCCGAAGAAGAAGAAGGCTTTTCCAAGTGGCTACGTTCAAGACAAGGCATCGAAAACATAAAACTCTTCGTATTAGGAAACTCAATTTTGATTTTCCTCTTAATTTCGTGGCCAGAAGTGAAAGAAACACTTGAAACAGCTTATTACATGTATCTAGAGTACAAAAACAGCACCTAACACCATGTTTGGGGTTATTTTCAAAGGGTTTTTCTTCATATTTGTTATGTTTTGGTATAGTCTAGGTGTTTGGAATTTGGTCAACAATTATTTCAGAGAAGAAGTTAAGAAATATTTGCTTTCTCAAGACCCAGCCCAACGAAAAAATCATAATGATAACATAATGACAAAAGCAAAAAAAAATATTGTTGCATCGAATGTTTGTTACCACCATTCAAATATTGAAGAAAAATGTTCCAAAATGTCTTTTTTGCAAAATAAATATTTTACGTAGTGTAGTTACCTTGTTTTTGTGCCAAAGTTTTTATTCCATCCTGTAAGAAAAAAGTTAGGTTAGAGCAAGGTAAATAACTGCTACAAGCACACTAATGTATCGTTTTTATTACCTGTTATCCACACATTAAAAGCACTTTTCCAGATGGAAAATGAAAGCAAAACGTTACACAAAACATTTCAGTAAATACTTTAAACAAAAAAACATAAAATTTGAACAAAACCAAACATTATAAACCACTGTTATTGGCTGAACAGGTGTTCATTTAAATATGAGAGTTTTTATTGTATGGCGACCTCTGTTAGTATATCCGCAAACATAAGACAAGAAATCTGTAATTAAACTTTTTTGCATTTAAATAACATTTTTATGCTTGAATACTACTTACTATTGATTTAATTACAAAACTTGTTATAATGTTTTATTATAAAAACAGTGGTTTTTAAAAATTAATAATTTTCATTTTGTCATCAAGAGTTTTGTTTTATATTATGAACGTCAAGCATTTATATTTAGTTGTTTTTAACTTAAAAAGTTAAAGTTCGTATTGATTTCACTTTTTAACTTGTTTTTGCATTAATTAACTAATTAATTAATTAGTTTTTATCACTGCAAAAACTGAAGCATTTTAGATACGCATTATTGAATTTGTGATTAGATAGATTTATTGTTTTGTCATAATAATAGTGACAAAAATAAATAATATAAGTCTAATCACAATTTTAACAGAGCGCAAAGACGTTAAGCATAAAAACCGTGTATTTTTATTATATCTCCTTTAGTAAACATAATTAAAGATTGTGCTTATAATTTTTAGTTGTTTTTTATTTTTTTTAATTAACTAAAAATTAGTGTTTAACAATGACAAAAAACAAAGACAATAAAATATTTAAAAAATTATGTTTAGCTGTTTTTTTGACTTAAAAAATTTATACATTTGATCTCGATTTTTAACACTTTATTTTTTTTAATTAATTCTTATTACTGCAAAAATTAAATTATTTTAGATACATATTATTGGTTAGATTTATTCTTGTGTTATAATAACCACAGAAAAGGATATAAATCTAATCACAATTTCAGCAGAGCACAAAAAAATTAATTATACAAATCGTGTTTCTTATTATATCTACTTCAGTCTAATTAAAATTTGTTTTTACCATTCTTGGTTGTTTTTTTATTAAAAAAAAACATTAAAAATTAGTGTTTAGCAGTGTTTAGTGATAACATAACACTGACAACAAGCTGCAAAAAAACCTTGCTGTGTCATACTTCTTTTGATTTCGATTTTTTTAACACTTTTTAAATTTTTTATTTAGTTTTCATCACTCCAAAAACTACCACTTTGGTGTTCTTTATTAAAACTGTGGTTTCATTTATTGTTTTGTCCTAACAATAACAAAATATAATATAAATCTAAACTTAATTTGTCTCTGTTTAATTAAAACTTACAAAATCTTAAGAAAAAAATTTAAAAAAAATATTTTTGTTGTTTTTTTTAATTCTAAAAACACACTCTTTTATCAATTTTTGTAAAGTTTTAATTTTTTTACTTTATCAATTAATTTTTTTTTTTCATTTAAAAAATAATTAAAATTTGGACAAAAAGTTACTCTAATTTTTTGCAGTTCAAAATTCTCTAAATCTCTACTCTGATTTCCTACAAAGTATTTTTGTTTGAATTTAATAAAAAAAATTATCGTAGAGCTTTGATAGTTATTTACCAAAAAATTATGAATTAAAAATTTTTCTCAAATTGCGTTTGTTAGTTAACAAAGCCGTTTCGCTGAGCTAATAATACAATTTGTTTAAATTAAAAAACGTGTTTTACTCGTACTTTTGATCTAAAATAATTTAAAACTTGGTAAATTTTTTAAATAAAATTCAATATGTACCCAAAAATACGTCTTTTAACGCGTAAATGAATGATTTAAACCGCCAATTTACACGTTGCAAAACAAAAGTAGCGGCGGTCAAGTATTGTAGGTTGTTAAAGGAAGCCTACTTTAAACGACCAATTATATTATCAAGAAATTGTCGTTGCACTCATTTTAACTCTGTCGATCATACATAATGTTTCGTAATAGCTGCTAAAAAATAAGTTTATTAATAGAAATGGCCCCTGGATTAGAAACCTTGAAAAGAGGTAGCATCCAACTCCAAAGAGTAGCCCAAAAAGTTGTCAACGGTGAGTTTCAAGTTTCAAGTTTTAGTTAACACAAATTGATAATTTAGATCAAATTGGGTCTAGGCATGTTCTGGCGGTGTTTGTAGTCACAGGTTTTGTCCTTTGCGGCGTAGTTGAACAAAGCGCATCAGTGGCTTTAAGGGCAAATAGTACTTCCAGTTATTCAGCAGCTGAATTTGCAGAATATGTTGAAAACACCAGTTATATAACACGATATTGTCAACCACCTTCTAACAAATCGGTAGTCCACGTTGTGCGATCAATTCCACACATTGAGGTACGTAAATAGTTTCAGTTTTATTATTTTCACACCAAAGATAGATTCCAATGACCCGAACTGATGAAACTGAAGCTGTGCTAAGACAAGCTTTCATGTGGGGAAGTCTCGTATCACCATTAGCAGCCAGTAGGGTGGCAGCGAGAGTCGGAGCAGAACGGTTATTTGGTGCTGGGGTTCTTGGAACCGGAGTTGTGGCAATTATGGTACCAGCGTCGTGGTTAACACCTAGTCATGTTGCTATCAGAATAGTTCAAGGCATTTTTGTGGTACCAAGTTTCAGTGTAACAAACCCAAACTAATTTTTTTTTTAAGGGTGCCACCTTTCCGGCAGCTCACATGTTGGCAGTAACTTGGATCAAAACCAAACATGTCAGTGCGTTTGTTTCTTTATATACAGGTTACTATAAATCACGATTATGTTCAGTTTTTCACATTGGTTTTCAGCTGTTAACCTGGGTTATGCAGTTGTGGGGATTTTAGGGACGCTTCTGGTCAGGAGTTGTGGTCGTGATTTTTTAAGTTATGTTATTGCATTGTCATCGTTTCTTTGGTACTTCTTGTGGTGGAGATTTGTGGAAGAGAGTTTGCATCCCAATAGGCCCAAACGAGACGTAATCACCTACAAAAAATATCAAAATAAACTACTCCAAAATATTAAAGAAACAAAAAAAAATTCTAATTTTTTTGATGTTTTTTGAAAGGCTGTAACTCATCGAAAAATGGTTGTATCTAGATTAAAAAAACATTTTGAAGCTTTAAGTTTCTAGTTTTAAGATTTTTTGGCAGTTTTTTTGTGTGACGGTTATTTCGCAATTCTCAGTAATAGCGCGAGAAAAATAAATTCAAAATTTTTGTTTTGCTTTTGGTCCACAAACGTTAAAAATTTTTTTTTAGTTAAGTTAATGCATACGCCGGATAGCTGTTCGTTTACCTTTAATATGCTTTTTTGACCTTTTCTAGACGTAAATTTTTCGCTGAGATATCTGACTTTATATGAAAAGGGATCCTTTCATCGATATCTCAGCAACCAATGACCACACAGAAGAAAAGCAAAAACTGGAATAAATGATTTATAAGATACTTTTACGATTTTTTAATTTTTTTTCCAGCTTTAACATAGATTTAATAAAAAGAGAAAAAAGCAACTTTTTAAACCGTTTTCTCGGACCAATTGATCGAAGTTTTGCAAAAGAAGAATAAAGAAGACATTATTTTTGAGTTTGTATACAATTTTGCCTTAGTTATTTGCTACAAATTAAAAAAAAACAAAAATTGTTTTTTGATTTTTTTTTGAAAATTTGTAAAACATTCAAGAAACAATATTGCTTAATTTTTGAAAAAAAATACAAAACATGTTTTAGATTTTTTTAAATTTGTAAAAAAATTCAAGAAACAATACTGATTAATTTTAGTACATATCAAAATTTTTGTGTTTTTTTTTTAGATTTTTTTTTTTTTTTAATTTAACTAATGCAAAATTGTAAAAAACAGCAAATTCTTTTTCTCATTTTAAAAACAATATGCACAATGGTTTCTTCAATTCTTTTGTAACACTTTGATCAATTGGTCCAAGAAAACGGTGTGATGAATCGATCGATTATCGATTTAAATCGATTTAAAAGTTTACATGGCTACGCAGGATATACATTAAACTGTAAAAACACTAAAAAACATTAAAGTCCCCCATCAATATTAGTGTACATGCGGTAGATTTACTAAAACAACGTAAAAAGTTACTTTTTTCAATGTTAAAGGTGAAAAAAAAAATTCCAAAAAATTATAAAAGGACTTTATAAAACATTATTCCAGTATTTGACACTATCCTTATATTCTCTGTGGTTGCTGAGATATCGATGATCAAAGACAAAAGGATCCTTTGACAAATTGACGTAAGAGAATTTCAACAAAACATATTAAAAATAATCGAACATTCTATTTGGCTTATGCATTGACTTAACTAAAAAAAAATCCCCACGTTCGTGAACCAAAACCAAAAACATAAAAATTTAGAATTTTTTTTCTTGTGCTATTACTTAGAATTGCTTGATACCATAGCACAGAAAAAAATATTTGCAAAAAAACTTTAAAACTAGAAACCTAAAGCATCAAAATGTTTTTTATTTAATCTGGATACGATCATTTTTTGATAAATTACAGCTTTTCAAAAATCATTAAAATATTTTTGTTCCTTTAATTTTTTGGAGTAGTGTATGTCAAACTAGTCTTTATAGGAACACAGAAACTTACCTTGGAGGCGACTACTCACTTCTAAACCAGCATGGGCTTGTGGTATCACAGTTATAGGAAGTCAATGGGCCGATGCTACTCTCATGTTGGGGGTCACAAAATATCTGAAACTAGTTTATGGATTTTCAATCGAATATGTATGACAAAAAATAACTGAAATAAGTTTCTGAAAAAAAATTTCAGCAAGACATCCTTCAATCATTACCCCACATTGGGCATTTTTTCGCCGCTATCACTTTTGGAGTAGTTGTAGACCATGTTAGACAATCAGGAATCGTATCAACAACAACTGCAAGAAAATTATTCGTTTACATTTGTAAATAATTCAATAATTCAATAATTTGTTTTGTTTCTAACACTTGACTTCTAGCACATTTCCCTCCTGCTGCTTTAATGTTCGTTTTGGGTTACACAGGCTGCGATCCTGCTGCTCCTGCAGCTCTCTACACTGCTGCTTTGGCCTTTACTGCAGCAACACCAGCTGGAGCTTTTGCAAGTGCAGCTGACATTGCCCCAAATTTTGCAGGTGAAAGCCTACTCAATTTTCTAATCTCTTAATATGATTTTAATTAGGGACGGTTTTTGGCCTATGTCAGACTGTGGGGGCTGCTGGCCTTCTCGCAGCTAATTACGTGGTGTCCGAAGGTTTACACGGTTCAGTGCGTTTAAATTGAACACTTGTTCAACTAAATGAGTAACAGTTTGCAGGTTGGTGGAGACTGGTTTTTGGGGTCTCCTCCGCTGTGCTTTTGACAACAGCTGCGTTTTTTATGGCCATGGGGAGCGGGTCAGTCCAGGACTGGAACGCTCCAGGTGATATAGAACCAGAGTTGGAACCAATCGAAGAACCTTCAAGACTAGATTCTGTTCTTGAGTAGACAATGAAGGGAAAATTGGATCGTGCGACACCATTATTATTACATCATGTAAATTAGAAAATGAAACCATCTGAATATTCATTAATTGTTTTATTGTAATAATAGAACAGTTCAAAAAGAAACGACATGTAGATAAGTTCCCACGTAAAGTATTCACATCTTTGGTAATGGTTGCGCAATATTTACATAATTGAAGCATGCAATCTATTAATTATACAGTGGCCTAACTAAATACAAAATAAGTAAAAAATGAACAATAAATATGTACAAAAATATCACCAAACATTGCGCTTGCTACAAAATTGAAAACTAAATTAGATAACACAAGTCGTGCATTACCCTTAATTTTGATAAGTAGGTAATGATAATGAGCATGCTAATAAATACTTGCATGATTGTGAACTAAGATGATTTTAATACCTACTTTACATAATTTTGCATTTTTGCAATAAAAACTGACATTGTCCCATAAATATTAAGATAGCAAATGGTACCAACACGCAACTATTGTTCGTAATAATCCATATGTGGTTCTTTGTACCTTTTACTCCTCCCAGGTCGTTTCTCTTCGGGTTCCTCCCCCAAGATTTCAACATTTCGCACTGGAACTTTCTTGTATTGTGGTACTGGAGTGGTACCTTGCCCCATCTCATCTTCGCTCAACGGCAATGCTGGATTTATGGCAAGTTGAAGCATCCTCAACAAGAGCATTTCTCGGACATCTGGAGGAAGATACTCCTCTTTGTTCTCTTGACGTTGTTCTTCACCTGGTTGCAACAGTCTTGCCACCCGTCTTGTGGGGATGTAAGACTGTCCATTTTGGTTGTAAACTTCCTGGTCTTGGCGTTGCTGTTGACGAATTGCAACTTGTTGGTCACTGGGGATATGGACGTATTGTCTTTGTCTTTGTTGCAAATTTTCGTCTTGTAAAAATTGTACAGGGCCGTTTTGTTGGTAATATGGGACAGGTGTTGGGCGATAGACTGGTCGATAGCGCTGTTGGTAGTACTCTGGGTGGCGGCGAGGGTCAGTCAAAGCACTGATACGTTCCAATCGGGTTTGTCTCAAAATGAGTTGGTGCAAAAGCTTCTGGAAATCTCTGGTACTAACAGGAGGACTAATTTCGTCAATGTCATTGTCTACCTCATGGGGTGGTGCTACGGGAACTGGAACTGGGTATGGTACTGGTTGATTTGGTTGTCTTTGCACTTCTCGAATAAAACCATTTTCGTCAACTTGAACCGGAATTGGTCTAAAATGAGGTGGTGGTAACCTCCTTACATAAATTGGTCGTGGTTCAACCGGTTTTGGGGTCGTCTCTTTGACATATTCGTATTGATTATCATTTATATCAACTGGAACCACTCTTCCTTGCAATTGACTCAAAGGTACCAAAATAGTACCTCTTTGGAAAGGGTGTCTAATTGCAACGAGAGGATCCTGAGTGGCTCTATTAGCCGGGATTTGCACCACCGGAACTGAAGTTGGTGTAGCATCATTCACTGTTGCTTCAGTCGTTGTCGTTTCTTGAGCATACTCCTGAGTATTACTTTCTAAGTCTTGCAAAACATTTCTTTGGTAATTGACAGGATATCGTATTGTTGGTCTTGAAACCACTGTTGGAGTTGTGGTGGTACTTAAAAGAGCTCTAGGACGCGACGTCGTCGTAAACAAAGGTCTAGGAGTCCCAGTGGTAACCGAACCACTATATACATCAGTAGCATCACTACCTAGAGCTTGTTGTAACATAAAAACGTGTTGTTGGGGATCAAAATTCGACTTCTCTTGCGACAATTGTCTCCTCAAAATGTTACTCCTGCCTTCAGATTGGTCCACATGTTTGTCATCATTCAAAAGTGGGTGTTTTAAGGCAAGTCGTCGAAACAATGGCAATTCTGTTGGTCTAGCTGTTACAACTTCCGGTCTAATTAACTGACCTTCAGATTTTTGTGTTTGTGTGTGTGTTGCAACAGTCGATCTGACTGTTGATCTACCTTGTAGCAAAATCCTTGGGGTTGAACTAGGGTAAACTATGTGAGGTTTGCTTGTCGTTTTGACAATTTCGCTCTCCATATTAACAACTTCGCTGTAGTTGGGTTTCTCGGTGGTTGTGGTTGATTGGCTTCTTAATTTGGCAAGTCTTTGAAGAGCTGTTGTGCTGGTCGGAGTTGACTGAGTCGTGGAATAAAAAGGACGTTTAGTCGACGAAGTGTAGATTTGAGTACGATTTGTCTTTGGAATTCGTTGGACAACGGATGGTAAATCCGGTTTTGGTAAAACTTCACTAGAATTACTGGTACTGTAAGACACTCTTTTAATTTGTCCTGAGTCGTCTATAAACCCGTAAGTTCCTTTAATATTCCCTAAAACGTCTCGACTCTCAATTTTGAACGATCCATCATCGGCTTCGTAACCTATAGTGTACGATCCATCATCATTGACTTTCTTAATTTGTTTGATTATTTCAAGGTTCCCGTCTTTTGACTCAGACTCGACTAGTTCCTCCTTCGATTCATTCTCAACAGTAATTGACTTTTTGCAAAGTAGGAGCAAGAAAAACAACGGAGTAATCTGAAATAAAGTGGCAATGTCAACTTTGCGGCAAATTGTTGTCAACAGTTGTCCTTAATTCTCTAATTACGAGATGTGCTTTGTGCGAGGTAAAGAAAGCAGAAAGAATGCGATTTTAACAAAAGTTATCATTAACCTTGTCATGGGCAAATTGTATAATTGAGAGAAACAATCTATCAGTCGCTAACGAGGCATGAGAATTTTTTTTAACAAAATTAAGAAAGTGTTTAAATAATTTTAACGATTCATTTGTGTTGCAGTTCTCAGGCACGTTTCACAATCAGTTACACATGTCACACTTGCAATAAATTCTTCTTAATTGTCCAATTGTTAATATTTTCATAATTGAAACGAAACAAAGACCGCATTATTAGACTACATTTTATGAGCACTAAAATACTAAAACAAAATTTTTCTCTCAATAATTAGCAGCTTTAGCAAGAGTTTTAGTAATTATTTGAAATCACAGGAAACTAGACATCAAAAATTTCAATTAAAAACTTGTTTCTAATATAAATTAGACTTCAATAAAATCGAGAGATAGAGAAAGTTTGAATTTTGAGACAATTATATTCTCCTTTTAATGTTTGTGGAGTATAATACGTTAAAGGATATACTTGTACATCCTTGATTTTAAAAACAATGCAAATTGATTAGATGTGCAGAGATCGTGCTTCTGTTTTATAATTGTAATCCGTTTTTTACACAAATAAAAGCAAATAGTTTCCTTCGCAATTACCGTTGTGTCACAAGAAGAAAATCCTAAATTAATGTCCAAACTACATTTTAATAATAGTCTAAATTAGATTAAACATCTTCAGCATGCAAGAGTGAAATCATCGCATTAAAGACACGCTTTCGTTACTTGCGACAAAATAACTTCTTTGTTCATAATGAAATGATGCCACTTACCTTTGTTAAATCTGCCATTGTGGCAGTTGCTTACACCACGTGTTTACACCGACTGTTTCATTTAAACCGCCGGTTCACTATATAACTTAAGACAGTTGTTAAGTCTTCAGACCTGGAGGGAGATGACCTTGAAGTGCCACCCACTCCGAGAACGAGCTTTGGATCCGGTGCACTTCAGTGAAAGTGTTGACTCAATTGCATTTTTGGTAACAGAAATGATTTTTTAAAATTTTGAAAATAAAAAAAATATTGGGAAATGTGTTGGAATTTATGGTTTTTGCAAGAACGTTAACCTTCGATGGTTTATCGTGAATGCATTATTGGGCAAAACTGAAAAGCCTACACGCTCGTTAAAAATTCAAGTACTTCAATGGGACTTTATTTACGAAATATTTATCCATAGAAGACAATCAGGTGGCCTATTTCACACGGTTGGCTACAATTTTGGTGGCAGCGTTTTACTACCGTTGCTGTTAAATGATTGTTATCACATTATACCATGATGAGGGTTCATAAATATGCATTCTCTATTGTGAACGGTGTATGGATGTAAAGCCAAAAGTTATATAACGAAGGATTAGGATAGACGTTTAGGGATATTCACAAGGAAGTTGTATAAATTTTTCCAATGTGAAAAGAATTTTACTATTGAATGCTGAAAATATGAAATCTACTGTTTTAGTGTAGAAATATTTTTTCCCAAATAATTTCTTCGCTACTGATTAAAATACATTTTGAAACCGACTTGTTATTCCTTAAATTTAATTGTGGTTTATAAAAGCCAATAAATTTAAAAAAAAAACACTAAATTAATTAAAATTGAGGAGTGAAAAAAAATATTATTTTAAAGGGTCTTCAATTTAGAACAGAAATAGTTGAAAGAATGCAGGAAGTTAAAATATAAACCAACACAGCTTGAGAGAATTATTGTATAACATTAAAGATATTTAAAACAATAATAAACACTTTAGAATAAGTCCACATAACCATCTAAGTTTTATTTCCTCAATAAGTTATGTATAAATAATAATAATGTAAAATATAGAAAAATAGAAACAAATAAAATTGGTTGAATAAATTTTTGACTGGTTAATATTTCTACTAAAAAATAAATTAAATAATACATATTTTGTTTCATACTGCTGGCAATAGTGTCATCAAGTGAAATTTTCTTGCTCAACTTAAATTATCTAGTTCAGAAGTTTAGGTAATTTAATTTTTATTTTTCTGTGTCAGAATACAAAAAAACTTACTCTAGTTATTTAGTAAATTCTGAAATCTTGTGCCAGAAGTTGACATAGATGTAACAATAATTATTTCAAGCTGCATAAAATGTAAAATAATAAAAATGTGTTAATTTGAGAACATAAACGTTTTATCTTTTTAATCAAAATTAAAATTAAAATTAATTGTGAGCTAAAAAGATGGTAGATGGCAACTTTTTCATGGTTCAAGTCATGTACCTACAAAACAAAATAAATGAAATGAAAATGAGATAAACTATTATATTGTAATATTAATTAATAATTAAAAACGTGAAGAAATGCTTGCAAAAAAGTTGAAAGAAATCTGGGCCTTAATCTTTGCTGAAACTTATATTGTTAATTTAAGGTTGAACTATACTGAATAAAAAATAAATCGTAATTCATAAATTTAAAAAAAAACACAACTTTTTGATGGCCTTAGCAGCAATATATAATAATTTAATTTTTTAAAAAAATACGAGTAAATTAAAAAAAAACGTTTATGTTTGGCCATTTCTTTTTTTTTTTATAAAAAAGCTGTAACTACAGAAGGAATTTTTGATTTATTTCTGGTGTATTGTAGATTACCTTCTTATGTTACTGTATTTTTTTCATGCAATTTGAAATATACGTTTTTTCATAAAAAAATAAAAACTAATGAATTTTGCAATCCGTTACAAATACTCAAAATTAGATAAAAACTCTATGTTATTGTGTGTGTGGGGTACTGATTTAATTCAGGAACAATATTCAATTTTTTTGTTTTCTTAAAAATTCACTTTTTTTCGTTTGAAGACTTGTTTGACGGCTTCAGAATTCAACCAAGGTAAATTTGTCTTATTACTAAACGAAAATAAAGATGTAAAAGGCGGGAAATGAACCATTACCTGCACCAGTTTTGGCTGAAATACCTTTCAACTTCCGTATGAAAACGTGTGAAAACTTGATATAGACATGTTATTTTGCTGAACAATAAAAACATATCAAGCAGTATTCTCCTTTATCTGATGTTTTATTGCGAAATAAAGAAAATTTTTCACATGTTATCCGGAAATATATTGTGCTAGTTTTAATTATCTTAAACATGCAACTTAGCTTTATTGAAAAGAGTTTTACTTTTCATTGCTTTAACAATATAACAATTTCGGCATGCAACAATACGAGTAATAAGCATGTAATGTGACAATGTGTCTAAATAACTTATCTAATTATAAACTTGTGGCGGTTGGAACGATGAAACACTGGAAACATTGTTTTGTATTAGGAAATAAAGCACTGTTTATGAAACATATACCCATTTTTTATTTTCTTGAGTAATAACAATTTTTTTAAGTTTGTGGATACTCTGTTAATTTATTTACGAAAGAGCACATTTTCTGCTAGTCTTTGAAAGAATTCAAATTTTATTTTTATTTTGTGTTTTTAAAAAATACTATTTTTACGGTTATGTACTTTTACTGTTTTCAAACAAGTTTCTTTACATGTCTTAAACTTATGTTAATTTAAAGACTCTTCAAATGCGTTAACTAAATGGTACAATAAAAATGATATAAACGAACAATTTACTTTACGTAATAAAGGCGGGAAAGGTTAGAATTGCAAGACATTGTTTATTGTCTCAAAACTACATCTGAAGCTAAATTTGCTTGAGAATGTCCCAGAACAAGTGACTAAGTACCCCTTCTTTATGTAGATTTACGAAATTAATTCTAAAATAGGTGCAGCTTTGCTAAAATATTCAAAAAATGTTAAAAAAATAAATAATAAATAAATAATATTTGTTTTTTTTATTTAAAATATTCTAGAGGTTGTTATTGAAAATTTTTGACAGCGAAAACAATTTGGTTTTTTACTTTTGATACATGAACATAACAAACTATTTAAATGTGCATTAAATAAGATAAGAAAAAAATCGAGGAATATAAGAAATTGGATAACGTTTCTAGAGTTTATCTTAATGGCTTATGTGACCAGTAAAACGACAAAAGAGAAACTCTTGCCTATGTTATTAGAACGAAGCAGAGGAAAATTTTAAAAGAAACCGTGTTAAGTCACCTTCAGTTTATTGTTTCCTGGTTTGGTTGTCACAATTTTAGACTAAACTTAAATTTTTTTGATAAATATGAGTTTTGTAATTTTGCTTAAACTATTTATTCTTTGAAAAAACGTGAAAAAAATTAATAAATAATAAAGTACTATAAAAATGTGGCGTTACAGGAATAAAATTTTTAATTTTTTTGTTCGGTAAAATTTTATAAAACTTTTTTTTACTTCAAAGTATATGATTACGTTTTATTCAATTTTTATTAAAAAAAATTCATTTAAGTTGTCATTAAAATATC